AAACCCCTACACCCCTTAAACCCTAGACACCCAAACCCCTCATCCTCAGTAAGAAGCATCTGCCAGCCGCGTCCTTGGCTCCAACTCTTCTGGAAATGCTGCGATCAACTCTTGCAAGTGCGACATGCTTTCTTCGTGCTTTCCTGAGTATATGGGGGATTCAGTTTTTGGGGTTACGGGATAATGAGTAGGGCTTAATGTCTTGGTCTTAGGGCTTAGGAATTAAGATTTAGCATTGAGGGTGCAAGGCATCAGCTCTATTGAATATTATGAATTCCCCTACTAATTCCTTCTACCTTAATCGGGGTGGACTTAGGGGTAAGTAGAATAGAGGGGAGTACTAGGGAACCCGTGAGAGTATGTCAAGCCCTGAAACCCCAAAGCCTCNNAACCTCAAGCCCTGAACCCTAAGCCTTAACTTTCACTGGGTGTCCCATCTGTTCCATCACCCTTGCATCCTCCATCCACGCGTTCCAGAGATCAAATTTCACATCATCTGCTGTCCTTGGCTTCCAGTAAAATTCCTGCAGCATGGGAACCGCCACAGAGAACATCCCCGAAGCCTTGGCCAGCTCTTCTTGCCGTGCCTGGCATAATCCAATTCGAGCCATGAGGACGGCTTCTACTTGTGCATCCACACCCAGCGCTGTGCTCAGCTGCAGTGCGCTCGCGAAATTCTGCTCTGCAGGCTCGTACTTCCCCTCATTGTACAATCTGTTCCCTTCACGTTGCGCATCCCTGACCAATTGCAAAGTTTGCCCGAAACTGTTCCCTTCAGGTCGAACATCCGTCAGCTGCTCCATCCCTTTCTCTACGAGCGCATCCTTTTCCTCCTCATGCTCTTGTTTCCTCTTCTCGGAATCCTTTGCCAGCAAGCCTCCCCACAGACCTTTCTCCTCCTTCTCCAGCTCCAACACGAGCCATCGTTCATCCTTCTCCGCACGCAAGTCCCAAAAGTGATCCCAAATCCTGGGCTGCTGCTATAGAAATTAGATTAAGCTGCCATACTCAGGACCAATTATAAGGAAACCCCTTCTACGCTCTATGTCCATAAAACCCCTAAAACCACTTCAAAGCATGGCAGAACTTATAGTCTCCCTTAAGTAG